AGCCGCGCGGTGGCTCCGGCACTTACCCAACATTCCCATCCCTAGCATAAAAGCGTCCATGGTATACGGTAATCCACGTGCCCTTCCTCTCGTCCCTGGTGGAAACATCACTTCTTTAGGTTGTGCTTTCTTACATTCTACCTATTGAGCAGAAACATGTACAAATGAGATGCAAATGAATTCCATGTAAATGTCAAATGCAGAACTGATCTACTTAAGGGGGGAGTTTTATTTTTAGCATTTGCCTCCCCACACCGCCTCCCCCTCAAAGGTGAACTTTAAGAACAGCGTAAATGGATTTCAAAGAGCAAACGTGTATGTCTCTTTAAACATACATAGCGAAACCCCAGGGTAAAGATGACAGAAATGCTGATTTAAGAAGTTGCCGCGTTCCTGAAAGGAAAACCCGGGCTGCGTTCCCTCTCCCTGGCACTCGCGGGCGGGGAATGAATGGAGGGGGGTCTCCAGCACAGCTCTATTGCAATCGATTACAGAAAACGACTCTGGGTGATCATTGCAAAAAGCTCCTTTTAAAATGGGAATAAAGAATCGATATTTCTGCCCAGCAGAAAATGTCTGTAAACCCTACTAATAAACCATCCGCATTCTTTCGCTTCCCGTCACTCCGGCTGCCTTCTGAAGTTGCTTAATGCCACTCGAACCACGCTGCCAGTCTCCGCCAACGCCGGTCAGAGGCGGCGACCCAGCCCAGCTGGCACCGGGACCCCCAGGACGCACCGCCGGGTGCTGGTTCCTGGCCTCATTTTGAATGGGAAAAGGGAGAAATAAACCACTTTCCCGTGTTCTCCAGCTCTGGCACTGCCGACTCGCCCCCCAGCAGACCACCCTGCGCTCCCTTGGCACTCACCGGTGCTACAGCCATGCTGGTAAGCTGAATCAGAGCCAGCCGGAGCAATCCCCACCCATTCCTACGGCTTTACACCTTTGTCCCTGCTCCGAGCAGAAGGCAAGCGGGCAGGTACGTGGCGCGGCCCCGGGCTGTGCCACCCTCTGCCCCACCGGTAGGTTGGCACGATGAGAATCGGCTCCACGCAGGTCGCGGCTCCCGCGTCCCCTCCGGCCTCGCACAAGCGGGCGAAGGCGGCGCCCCCGGGCAAACGGGACGTGCGGTAACGCGGCTCGACGTCTCGGTGCCTAACAGCCCGGTCGGTGACGGTGTGTTCTTTGTCTTATGAAAACCAACCGCCTGTTCCTAAGCAACCCCATCAGCGAAAATTCCAGGTTTATACCATTTTCATTTAGGTAACATAAAGGTTAACTGACTGTAATGGGAGGATTTTAAACAAAACCACCTACTCCTCCCTTTCTGCTGCAAATCTGCACAGACCCTATTTACTTGGCGTGTTTGCAACGCTTCCCGACGAGACGGTGCTCAGACACGGCCAACGCTGCCGAAACCCGCACGTCCTGCAAACCCAGGGAAGTTTGGAGCGGAATTCTTCTGGAGTTCACCTTTTGCTACTTTTCTGCCAAGAAGCGTTTGGGTCGTCGCAAGAGGCAAAGGGAGATGGGCAGAGAAGGACCGGGGACAGCTGGGGCATGTGGGCACAGCCCGAACACCGCGGTGAGGGCAACGGGGAAAGCGGGCAAGCAGGGGCGAGAGCAAGAGCAGTGCTGAAGAGACCTGCTCTCCCGACACCCCAAAATTTGGGCACGGCCACAGCAGGGCCAGCGATTTCCTCCATCTCATCTTCAGTGCTGTTGAGGCAGCAAGTCCTCCGGGAGAGAAACATCCCACTGGGAGCTGTGGTGAGGACCGGCGTGTCCTCTGCTGGGGCCACCAACCTCCACCCTCCATCCCCTGCACACCCACGCACACCTACGCATGTACACCCATGTACCCCCACGCATGCACATCCATGTACACCCACGTACATCCATGCACACCCATGTACCCCATCCATGTACACCCATGCACACCCATGTATCCCATCCATGTACACCCAGGCACACCCAGGCACAGACTCCCCCATGCATGCGACGGTGCAATGATGAGCCCCGTGGTACCCCACAGGGCTCCCAGACCCTGATATTAAGACAAAAAGAGAAAGAAAAGGAAACAGAAAACTTCCCATCAGTGAATCTGTCGAGCAGCCACCCGCCCGCTGCAGTGCTGCTGTCGGAGCAGGGCTGGGGATGAGGACACGGAGGATACGTGTGCCCGGCCCCATCACTGCCCCACGGGGACGAAGCCTTCACAGCGTCCCAGGGAGGCTTAAGCCTGAGCCTCGAGGGTGGGTTTCAGCCTAACTGGGCTGTGTGCCCCTCCGAAACCTCGGTGCCCCCAGAGAGCCCCCCTGCAGCCACCTCCCCTCGCCATCCACCGTTCCCCGTGAGCTCCGAATGCCAAGCACCCGTGCCAGCCTCCCTCCCCGCCGCCCCGCACAGCACCTCAGGTATATCCTCTGGAACTGCCCTTGGCTTATTTTTAATCAGAGTGGCATTTAACAGGAATATGCCACCTAATTTCTCCTGCCAAATGATGGCAGTGAGCCGCAGCAGGGCGTCATTCCATCTCGCAGCCGCGTTTTTCGGGTTCGTCGCCGTTGCGAACGTCGCGGCGCCGTTGGTTACAGCTCGTGCCCGCCTGTTCTGCAAACAGTCACCATGATAAAACCAATCTAGCCTGGCTCGACGGACAATTAACAGGAAAATGAAGTTTGGATTAGCACCGTTAGAAACAATAACCAAGTAATTAGCTTTCGCAACCGCAAAACAGCCTACCGCTGCTCCCGGAAAGACCGGAGTCATTTCTGATTTTCACAGCACACAGGGATACAAAGGGAATGGCAGCAAACTGCAAGAAGTTTTAACTGGGATTTAAAGGGGAAGAAAAAGTCACCAGTAGGAAAGAAAAATAATTCCTAAGCCTTTGTAAACAAATACACCCCATATCGAGGGCAAAACCACTCTCTGTCATCCAGCAGAGACCCTTTTCCCCTGGGCAGGATGACGTGTGAGATGCGGGAGCCCCGGCCCCGCTCTGCCGCCCCGTGGGAAGGGGCTGCGAGATCCTGGCCCGGCACGAGCCTCGCCGGGATTCCGACACTCCCGGCCAGCAACGTCACACCTCGAGGTGCTCCCCAGAACCTGCCCACGCTCCAGCCCAGCCACAGACAGGGAAAATGCAGCAACAGGGGGTGATGCACCACGTGAGCAGACGGCGGTGGGCATGGACGGTGCCTCTGCACCAAGAGAGGCAGGAAAAGTGGGAAAAAAGGGGCTGGGCTGCTTTTCTGGGAGAAGTCGTCCCTCTCCACCACGGGGAGCAGGATGGAGATGGCCATAACCACCCCACAGCCACAGCTACCACGAGAGCAGAGCCCCAGAGGCAGCGGGGATGTCACCCACGTGCTGGCAAAGCGGGACGCGCAACGGGGCTTCTCCAAGAGGGAACGCACCCGGAATTCCGAGGCAGAGCTCAGCTCCGTCCGGAAGCATCCCCGGAGCCCACCTGATGTGGGCACTTAGCACATAAATCCGAATCTTGCGCTAACTTTCAGTTCAGCGTTTCTGTACATCTTAATAATTTCCAGATTTCTTCCACCTCCCCGTAGAGGGATGTGCTTCACTTTCAGCAGCCTAACAAAGAGAGTTTTAACTCTGAGGCTACAAAAAAAAAAAAAAAAAAAGGCAAGGAAACGAAAATTCACTATTTTTGTTTAGTCTAGTTTGGAGAATTAACTGGGCTCCTCTTGGGTCAAGCCAAGCAAAGGCAGCAGAACCCTGAGCTGAGATGGGAGTGAAAAGCCTCTGACACTCAGAACAGGCTGTCAGCTCGCGGCACCCGCCACGGCCAACGGCTTTCCAGGGAAACCAGGGCGACTTTCAGAAAGCAGAACATGCACCTCTTCACAATGCACAAAAAAAAACATTTTACCACCCAAAGACAAGGGAACTTTGTCTCGCCAGCGACGTGCGACTCACAGGCGGTTGAGATTCGATTACCCCGGGGAGGCCACGTCGCTCACGGCACGCCAAAACTAACGCTCCTCCAACCAACCGTGTTCGCCCAGCCCTGCCGTGATGGCAGGGCTGCACCAGAAGAAAGATTTTCAGCATATTTAAAAAAAACCCATGAGGTCATTGACAAAGGTAGGGTGGGGACAATGGGATGAGAAGCTGCTCGGCACGTCCTCAGACTGTAAGAGGAGAATTGGGCGGCTACGGGAGAGCAGAGGAGCCTGCCAGAGCTTCTGGTGATGCATCAATTCAGTTTGTCCCCAAAACACCTGGTAACGCCCAGCGCTGGGCAGCTCTTACTGTCCTGTGCGGGCTGGAGAACCTGGTCACCCTTGGAGAACCTGGCAAGGGCGACGTCACTCTGCAGCTCAAGCACGTTGAAGACAACATTCCAGCAGTGCATCCAACCTGCAAGCGGTCTGCAGTGTCCTTCAGCTGACAGATGGGGCTTCCAAAGCACCTTCAGCCTCTCCATTGCACCACAGACACCGGTGATGCCTCATCTACCTCCCTGCCCAGCACCACTGGCACCGAGTCCGACCACCCTCACTCTGGCAACGAGCCCTCTGCTCCCCAGAGTCCGGCACGTGTTGAGCCTCGGGGCCCCTATGCTCCCTTCACGACGACAGCTCCCTTTTGGTAGGTCCTACGGATGTGTCAAACAAAGAGACAATTCCAACTCCAAAGAGTCTCCCAGGGACTGCACTGGGGTCCAAGAACGGGAGCTGCCACATTTGATTTCTGGCCACTGGAGGTTGTTTCTTAACTCTCTGGTTACTTGCTTTGAGTGTAAAAGGAGAGTCAATGCCCCAGGAGGGGTGTGATGAGCTTGTGCGCTTTGCAGATTTGGGGCAAAAGCATCAAAACATGCTGACAGCACCAAATCAACTTCCTCACAAGGGAGAAGGGCGATGTCTGGACCCAGACTGAGAAAAGAAAATCCCTCCTGTCCCACAGCATTCCCCTTTGTCTCTTGATGTGCCTTCTGGGCAAACCAAGGCCACATCTCGTTTTCAGCCCTACAACCACTCCCTGACCCAGATGCTTTGTTTGCAGAGATGGCAAGGTCACTTGGTCAAGCCTCCCCGAAGACATCTGCTCCAGAACTACCTACCTCCAACAGCCTAAGGTCATGCCTGCAAACAGCCCAGCACTGCGACGTGCGTCCCCACTGCGCTACGCTCCGTGTCTCCCCTGCCAGCACAGCCAGCAAACCCAGCACCGCCACCAGTATGACACCGGCTGGAGAGGCAGCAGGATGATGCATGAGGCCTAGCACCACATCTGGGGGTTGGTATCTGCCTTCCACAGCGTCCAGCTGGCAAAGGACCCAGCGGCTTCTCAAAAGGTCCGTGCAAGGTTGGAGGTGGCTGTTGGCTGCACGTTGTGCTTCCCCCGCTCCCCGGACACTGGTGGTCTTGTGCATCCTCCTGCCTTCTGCATGTGGTGCAGGTTAGTCTTCTGAGGGATGGAGATGCCTTAGACTACAAAGCATTTGGATGAAAACACACGTGGTGTGTGATGTACACGTCTAAAACGTCACCACACAGCGAAGGCTGCCAATCCGAGCAGAAGCCCGAAGAGCGCTGATACACCGAAAAATCCCACAACAAAAAAACCCACAAAACCCCACCACGAGACACAGAAGCAGCCACAGGTGCAAGGCAGCGTCAAAGCCTATCTGAAAACAGCCCAAGGTTTTTGTCAGCTGCTCCAGAGCTGACCTGAGATCCTGACTGCACGTGCAAAGAGCCGGGGCCGGGCTTGGCTCATCGCACCGCTCGCCGACGCCTGTCCCACTGTGCCCGTGCCGTGAACGACTCCATCACAGTGGGATCCAAAGGAAAATCAATTACTCTGTCACATCTCTTTTCCAGCTACTTTTGCACCCCCTTAGAAAACCAGGTTTCTCTTTGCAAAGCTCCCTGCTCGTGTCAGAGGAACAACATTCCGAGGACAGCTTGTTTGGGTTTTATTTGTTCCCCCCTCGCGATGTTTGGAGAAGATCTCTGACCTCCCCCGTAAATTCCAAGTTTCATTTATTAAATACTTCACTGGCATTTTCTTTTCGCTTTCGCACCGCGCGTTTCATATTACATTTGACATTCTAAGCTTTACGGATGGCAACAGCAGCAGAATGGGTGGGTTAAAAATAGCGCGCCAGGGCGCCGGGAGGCTGGAAATAGGCTGGTGAACAACAGCAGCCCCGCTGCCCCCTGCTTGCCCCCGTGAGCGAGGGGCGCGGGGCGCCGCGGATGCCCCAGCTGAGCAGCCTGGGGATGAGGATGGGGACAGGGATGGGGATGGGACGTCCCTGTCCCAGCTCACCAAGCGCCTGCAAACCCCATCGCCTCGAGCCGGGGCTGCGAGAACCCATCCCCTTGGTAGCTCAGGGACATGTCGGCAACGAAGCCGGAGCGGTCAGTCTCCGAGGGGCTGTGGAAGGGATGTCTGGGCCAATTTTGTTCCCCGCCAGCTGTGCGTCACCTCCGGCCATCTGCACCAGCTCACTGTCACACAGGCGTGCACGAACTCCCCTGCCCCTGCCCGGGTCTGGTAATTAATCTGCAGACACATCAGCGATACGATGAGTCAGTCCCAAGACGGGATCATGTCTCATCTCCTCCCTCGTGGGCTGCTTTTAAAATCGGTGCTGTAGAAGAAGTGACAAGAAGAGAACACTCAAAGCATCGTGGCACCTGGATCGTGCACCCAGCAGGCACGGAGCGCCGGGAAGAATATATTTTAATCATCTGCAACAACAAGGCACCAACAGCCCACACGTTTCTTTTGCTCTTTGTGATGTTCCTCCAGCGTTCTCGCCCTGTGCCATCCTCCACGTTCCCTGCACTGCTGGTACCTTCCCGGGCAGCCTTTCATCTGGGAACAAATCCCCCCACCAGCCCTCCTCGCCGAGCAGGGCTCTGCAAACACCCGCGTGGCATCTTCCCAGTGCAGGAGCGTCGAATAACGCGACCTGCTCCGCTGCTGGTGCTGGCTGTGCTGGGACACACCGCCGCTGTGCCACTTTGTCCAGCCCACACCCAGCACTGCCCGGGGCACTGCCAGGCTGCGGCGATCAGCACCGGGCGAGGGCTGAGCTTTGCTCCAGAGAAAAACCTCTCGTGTGAAACAACCGCATCTCGGAGCCCGACGTGACACGCGCCCACCCGCGATTAAGCGGCAGGAAAATCTCGGAGCGTAGCGCTGCAGCTCGTCCCTCCCAACCGACAACTCGCACCTAAATTTACATTCTGAGCGTTTCTATCTGTTGCTGGGTCTGTCGTCTGGATGCTGGGGTGGGGGCGGGTGGCAGTCATTCTTTTTGGTTTGTTTTCAGGCAGATTAATCAGCGTTTAGGAACTACACGGCAGAACGAGCCTCCCCCACGATGCCCGCGTATCCCGGGCGAGGGGCTGCGGCGGAAGGCAGGAAAGCCCCGTGGCAGGGGG